GGGGTTACAGTAACATTTAAATTTAGTCTCGAAATCCCAAAACAAGTGAATAAAATAATCAAAAATCAGACGTGTTAACAGGGCCATGACCAGAGAAGTACAATCAACAGAAATGTAAGGCAAGTCAATTGAAGCAAAGAAGGAAGGATAAGAAAAATCCATGCTCTTTATTTTTTGATTTCAGAAGACATATCAACCCAAAAAACATATACCCATGCTCTAACATAATGGTGAGAACTGGCAAAACTTCAGAAACATGCATTCAAAGCAATTGAGAATTGAGAAGTGCAGCCAGAATATTCATACTTCCCTATGAAATGCTACAAAAAGGCAACCTGTACATTCCCACCACTACATGTCTAAGAGTATCTCTAACCTTGACTCAAATTTTTACTCAAATTTGAATAAAAAGCTTGATTTGAGCTTACATTAGATCTCTAAAGGAGAACAAAATCTAACCATTAATGATTTTAGTAAATGTTTGAGTCTCCCTTGATTTTAATAAAAATTTGAGTTTTTCTTGATTTGGTATAAGTTTGACTATAACATTAGAGAAGGTTTTTAGGAATTTTTTACCCCATTCAAATTTGGGTTTAAAAAAGAGTAAGGACGGGAGATGCTTTAAGAGCTTCAAATGTATGCAACCTTATCCTGCATGATGAAATGTTGTTCCATGACTCGATCCCGTGACTCCCAGGTTAGAAATAAGCAATTTTACTGTTCTGCTAATTCTCACCTTCAAAGGCTAACAATGGTATACAGGCAGCATTTACGCACACATAAACAGGATTTATATTGAACTATACATAAATCCCATGACACGTCAGCTGGTTCACCCAATAGACCAACAAATTAAAGATAAAAAAATGCAAGTCCTACTAGGCTTAGCTCATAGAAGGGAAATTCTCACAGCTAGCAATCACACCAAGCAGCACAATGTCAAGGAATCCCTTTCGAATCCCACAGCGTCACATTTTGAGAGAGAAATATATATGCAATTCTAATGGATATATTTGTAGGGAAAGGAAGAGCACTTTATGTGCTCTCATCTTCGAAGTTGATCCTCCATATATATTACAAAACGTGAAGGATATGATTCAAGCAATTAAGTCAATCCACTTACCTCATGACACATAATAATCAAAGGTTTCAGGAAATTCTTACCAGTTTCTCCACCGTATCCTTAAACTCATTCCCTTCAGCTGCAATAGCTGAATCAACTGCCAAAGTTGACTGGCAATTCTTTTTCAGGAGTCCAAGTGTACGATTAAGAAGATTTCCTGTACAAATAATTATAAGTCAAACTTGTTTATCCTAATCTCAGTTTCAGAATCTAACCAACAATTAACCAGCAGTGCATTCCTATGTCTCCTTGAGCAGGAAAAGGAATAAATACCAATTGTATTAGCAAGATGAGCATTGACAATATTGATGAAACGGTCCTCTGAGTAGTCCCCATCATTTCCAAATTCCACCTCCCTGAGGAAAAAATACCTGACTGCATCGGGTCCAAATCTATTCACTAAATCATTGGGTTCAAGCGTATTTCCTAGTGACTTTCCCATCTTCATGCCATCCTATAATCAATAAAAATCATTGCTGCATGAAATGAAAATAGGTATATGAGATAAAAAACTAAAGTACAACTTGCACCTCTATTTCTTCATAAGTCAAATAAACACCAATTTCATTTCTTGAAGTTATGAAGTTAATGCACACCATTAATGTAGATCATGAAACCTAATCTCAAAAGGTTGACATTAACTTATAGGGAACAATCCCAAAAACTAACTTTCCCAATAAGTCCACAATCAAATTTTAATAGCAATTTAGAAGTGTGGTAAAGGTTAATTTTAACACTAGGTTTATGCATATTAGACGAAGGGCAAAAGGATAATTCAGAAGTGGCTCGAAGTAGCCAATTGTGACAAAAGTATAAAGCTCCTCAGGCATGATACGTGCCCTAAATATATGGTTTAACCTAAGCTCAAACGAATGTGTGGAGTTCCATGACTAAGTACTATCTTTGGACAAATTTATACATAAAGTAAGCAAGATAATGCTCAATTCCAATGAAAAAAAGTATTAAAAAACATTAAACTCTAAACCATTTTTTTACCTTTGTCAAGAATCCATGGCCAAACACCTTCTTAGGAAGGCTTATTCCAGCTGATATTAACATAGCTGGCCAATAAACTGCATGAAAACGCAATATATCCTGCAAAAAAAATGGCAACAAAAATGGAAAGAATATATAATTGAAGTCATGTTGCAATGGGTGGAATTGAATCAAGCCGAGACTTTAAAATAATAAAAGTATATAATATGGGGATATCAGATATGATTTCAAATTTCTTAAACATGATAAAAGAATGAGGTTAACATACAAATTTATGCAGCCAAGAAGCTAAGGACAGAAGGAGAGTAGAGTCTACAAATAGCTCAACACTTAGGGCTGTCTCCCAAATTTCAGGGGCACGGAATTGGTTGCAGAATTATATAAATGGACTTCAGAGTCAGTACTAAGGCAAGAACAAGATGCATCCAGCATCCCACATGTTGAAAATACATACTTTCTTAAGAACCATTTCCGAAAAAAGTAAAATCAAAGAACAGTGGCTTATATCATCGAAATAATGTGTGATGAAAGCCAAGGCAGTAGTCTGTCTCTTTCATCACACATTATTTCAGTTCATCAAGCTCCAAATTGAAAACAATGTGATGGAAATAATTACATTGAAAAATAAGATTCCGTTTCAGATACCAATTGCCATGTTTCTTTCATAGAATGAAACCAGGTAAAAAAAAGGACATAAATGTCTGCAACATCATATTATGAATGCAAGGAAACAATCATACCTTGCCAATTAAGTGTAACGAGGCGGGCCAACCTGAATAGACTGCAGCCTGTAGATTCGGTTGCCCCTTTTCCTCTGACAGTGCAGATATATAACTGCATGACAAACAAGAGAAGAAGAGGGGGGAAGGAGGAGGAGCGTTTAATAAACAACTTAAACATTATCTGCTTCTGGACGAATTAACATCATTCATTTAGACTCAGAAATAGAAATCTAAATAGACAACGCATTGTATAATAGCAATGTTGAGCAGCTATTTCTAAGCTGAGTTTGATTGAAGTGTAGAAACTGCAACATTGGAAGTCCTTACAGTTTTGACATTTGATCCTAGAAGGTTAGATCAACCTCAAAGAATTCATTGTCCACAGCAAGAGCCATTTAACACAAATTTAACATAAAAAATGTGGTGGATAACTTAAAGTATGAAATTGTGGACCAAAAAGTGCTGATTAAGGCGCAGGATAACCCATTGGACTCAAGTGGAAAAACTATTTTTTAAACAAAACCTGAGAAAAAAAATGACCGGCTTAACTTTTGTAACCAATTACAGCAACAAAGATTAAGCACAGAAAATTGAAGTATAAAAACAATTGTAAACCCTGGTATAGATCAGCCAGATGTAAGCTCTGGCAAAGAAAGATAAGTGAAAAAACCCAAAGTATGTTGATAGTGAGTTCACAATATGGAATAATTGGGAGTATTAAGGAAGAAATTAATTTACCCCAATAAAGCATCAAACCAGACATATATAGTTTGTTTTATGTCATTAGGAACCGGAATACCCCAATCCACTGATGCCCGGGAAATCGAGAAATCTCTCAGGCCACTTTTGATCCAACCTTGCACCTGAAAAAGGGTTCCATGTTAGTAACACCATCAGGAAGAAAGTCAAACTGTATCATGAAGGAATGTTTACAAGGTTTGATTTATAGATGCAAGCAACAGCCTTCTTTAGTTCTTTACACATACAAAGATATGCAAATAGTGAAGATGAAGACAGGTTAATTATGCTGATAGTAACACGTTTGAGTTTATCAGATGGTATCAACCAAAGCAAGGCTGAAGCACCAGAGTGAAAACTTAATGGTTTCCAAAAAGCCAAGAAAATCCTCATTTCCTCACCTCATTTAAACGAAAAGAAGGCTGCACAAAATCAGGATTTTGCACTAAAGTATCTTCCAACTGTTTTTGATACTTTGACAATGCAAAAAAGTAATTGTCCTCTTTCCTCCGGACACATGGCTTTAGGTGCATAGGGCAACAGTTGTTCTCCATCAGTTCTTTCTCATCCTGCAGATTAACCAGAACTATAGATATCAAATGATTATCATGTAAAGGCAGACTACTGTAAACCCAAAACCCACGGAAACACTGAAATATACATACCAAATTAATTAAATGCATACGGCAGATAGATGGGTAGACTTCATCGTACATAGTGGGTTAATAGGCATGCATGTGCCCACAGATATGTGCACACAATGAAGGGAGAAAATGCATAGCATTGGCTCCACAGGACAAGGACAAGTTTTTTTGAAAGAAGAATAAGAACAAGAACATCACAATTGCATCATAGTAAATGAATGTTTACAGATGCCATCAAAAGCTCCAGAAGATAGAACTTGGATAATAAGCATGGATGAAAAATGCAAAATCTGACACACCAACATCATACTGCTCAAAAAAATGTAAACTGCATGATTAGATTGGCCCGCCTGGATGATTTGCCAAACTGTCGTATGATTATTTTTTTTTCTCTCTAATCCATCCATTTATTCAGACATCAAATAAAATCACATTGCTTTTCCATGAAGATTCGTATAGAGGAAGTGAGTCAATATCGTGTGACAATCATTATGGTCTTTGCTGATAGATTTTATTGGTGAACTTGATGCATGTTGGGCCATTCCCTGCATTGCTCACAGCCACAAACTATTTGGAGGGTGTGACAATGGCAAGTGGCAACCTATCAAAATAAAAAATTTCACACCTAAAATAGCAAGATACCACCTTGTATTCCTCGCAGTTGACACAATAAAGTCCTTCATAGTCAGCACGGTAAATGTCGCCATTTGCAAGAACCTTAGAGTAGAATTCTTTCACTATAGCTTCGTGCTTAGGATTAGTTGTCCGGATAAACTTGTCATAAGCTATGTCTAGCTGCCATCACCAAGTAAATGAAGGGAAATCCAAAAGAATATATTAGCAAGATAGTTCAAACAATTAACAAAATATCATTCTTTCGAGATAATTTTCATATAGCAGGGGAACATACATCTTTCCAAAGAGCTTTGTAAGCTTGTGAAATTACGTTGCAATGTTCACTTGGGCTGGAACCACGGGCAGCAGCGGCAGTAGCAATCTTCTCTCCATGCTCATCTGTGCCAGTGATAAATATAACCTTCTTCCCAAGAAGTCTCTGCCATTAAGAATTTTGACAATAAGAAGTAGCTCGTCAAGATCAAAATTCAATGTTTGAGGCTTCTCATTACTCACATTAAAGTCCCATTTTTGCATTTAAAAACAACACATCTGTAAGTACAAAAAGCATATTTCAATGCTAGCAGTACATGCCGAATACATTTAGTATCCATGATTTAGAAGGAATATGTAATTTGTGGTACAAATTGCACATATTCCAACAATCAGTTCAGCTCACAAAGATACATAATCTGAGGTTGTGTTGCAGTACCAGAATTAGACGATAATGATATATTTTAGTTCTATATCAGCACCATACTTTCTCAATTATAAAAACTTCAAAAAAAAAAAGCCCGACATGTCTGGCATGAATTGAAAGTCGACAATCATATACGCTAATCATAAACAGAGTAAACTAACACCTTTCAATAATCCTTAGCTGCGACGAAAATCTTATATAAAGGAGGTAGATGGTAAATTTTAAACCTTCCAACTCTTTCTTCTTTGGGACCCAAATGGAACTAAGGAGAATGCTATTGACAATGATTTTTTAGTCACTACCATGAAAATCAGCACCATTCTCCATTCATATGCTTTAAATTTTGCAAGAGACCAACCAAAAATGCTATCCAAAAATAAAAGCTTCACTCAAATAAGCCTAATAAAAAAATAACAAAAACCCAAAATTTGTCGGCACATCGTCCACTTTCTTAGCAAACAAACAAGGGGTGAATTAGAAAACCTCGACTACATAGAAATTCGACCGACATGAAAATCATCAAAAATTGCCCCCAAAAAAACAGCTTAAAAGAAGACAAGGTTTTGGAGCTATTAACATAGAAATAATACCTGAAAACGGGCAATGGCATCAGCGGCGATGGTGGTGTAGGCGCTGCCCATGTGGGGAGGGGCATTTACATAATAAAGCGGAGTTGTAAGGACAAATGGCTCTAAGCTTTCGCTCTCGTTTCTGCTGCAAGTGCAGTACAAAGCTCCTCTTCTGGACGACGATGAGAACAAGTTTTTACGAAGATGGATTCGATTTCTGAGGTGGGTACCTCTGGAATTGATCGAATTGTATAACTGAGACGAAGATGATGACGATAAGAAACAGAAGTTGTTTTGTATGGAGTAATGAACTCTACTCGCCATTTCTTCAAACAATTGTTTTCTACTATGAAAAAGACTATCGCTTGCTGGTAAGTGTGCATAAATATTGGGTTTCTGAGTTCTACGCTGCTTTGAAGTTGCATCCATTTGAGGCCATCCTCAGAGAACACAGCCCAAGTGGCTGTTAGGTTTCAAGGATAGGGGGGACGTTTGGGCAGTCTGTGGAAGGCCGAAAGTATATGGACAAAAGGGCTAATTTCAGTTTGGCCCCCAACAGATTTTTTAATTCTTAATTTAAAATCTTCAAAAATTAAAAATTTTAATTTATACTCTCAATGTTATAAATTGGTAAAAATATGGACCTAACTCAGACTAATATTCAATTTTTGTCATAAATTAAGGTACGTGAGTAACAATTCGATAGCTTAGCTCTCTCTACTTTTTACTTAAATAATCGTGTCAAGTGGACGAATCGTATGCAGCTCAGTCTATCTCTTTTCTTTTTTTATCTATATTTTTTTGATAGTCGTAGAAGCCAGATCAACATCATGATAACAAAATTCTAAAAATAATTGGGTGAATCACAATTGGTCCGATGTCTGGGTGCTTACAATGGAACACCAAGAGCACCTTTCAAATCAACTAAAAAAGCAGAAAAAAAAAAAAAAAAGGTTTTGTCATCTTTTTCTTGCTTTCACCTTCGACTGCGAAGGAATTTAAGGCTGGTTGTCAAAAACATAATAATTGGGATAATATAAAAAAATGTCATAGTTAAGGGGTCAAAACATAAAAATATTTTAATTTCTAATATATACTCATAAATATTAAAAATCTCAATCTCTACTTTTTATAAATTGGCAGCGATTATGAATTGAGTCACTTTCGAATCGGTAGCAATTAGCATTGTCCGTAACAATGTTAATTGCTAGCAATTCGAACGTGGCTACTGCCTTTTAATTATTTTTCATAAACTAAAATGCATAAATTGCACGTGCTTCAAACATGTATATGAGGTATGTCTACCACTACGAATCTTATTTGCAATTAATTTTACATAAAATTTTATTAATCAGATAACAGCTAGCCCTATTACACGCTCATTTGAAATTTGAAATACAAATTTCATTAAAACATATTAGAAACTATTAGGGTGGGACTATTCTCACACTACAAATCTCTATTCTTATTTTATTTAATTTTTTATTATCAAACTACTAAAGTCTACCCTTTTCATACCCCACCCTATTTGTAACTAAACCCACCTTATGCTACATACACTCATTTTAATAAGTAAACTCACTTTATATTTTTTTGTTATAAATAAGAATACATTCTTTATCTCATCTTATACACTCACAAAAATATTTTTTCAATATGAATTTTTTCAGTGAAATACAGATTAGTATTACTTCTTAATTTAATGATTTCATATTTGTTATATGAATTTTTATTATTTTCAGTATGTTTTGATATCTCAATTAAGTTTAATAATTTTTTATTTAGAATTTATATGTGTATATATATATATATGTATCATTTTAGATTATTTATTCTGTTTTATCTTGTCAAGGTTGTGCATCTATACTTATTGTTTTTTTTGTTTGATTTTGTGTACGTGCTTGATGCTTGTTTTTTTTTTTTTGTCATATTCGATTTTGTGTCTTATAGTTTTTGCTTGTTCATTTAATTTTTGTTTGGTTTTTTTTTTTTGTTTCGGTTTGCTTCTTTCTTTTTGTTTTTTCTTTTTTTCGTTCTTTTCATTTTTCTTGTTTCGGTCTGCTTCTTTCTTCTTCTTTTTTCTTGTTTCATTTTTTTTTCTTATTTCGGCATGCTTATGTTTTTTTTACTTGTTTCGTTTTTGGTTGTTTTTTTTCTTGTTTCAGTTTTGCTTAGTTCTTTTTTTTTCTTGTTTTATAAATATATTTATGAATTCAAACTAATTGTCTTATTTTATTATTTTTTTCTTGCAATGACTTTTTTCATTAAAGAGATACACATAGAATGAGTGAACTTAACTATTAATGAAGTGTATGTAACATGTGGTGAGCTTAGTTACTAACCGGATGTGTATAAAATGAGTGAACTTAATAATTTGATAATGAGAAATTAAATTGGGTGAGAATGGAGATTTGTAAGGTGAGAATAATCTCACTCAAACTATTAACTCTTAAACTTTAGAGTTTCTCTCATATTAGAACTTTTTTCTATCTTTCTCGTATCCATCTATAAAACATATACAAATGTGACCAAATTTAAACTAAATTAAAATTTTATTTCTTTAATTTTAAAATTTTCCTAAATTATGACTATTTATCTCTCATATTATATATACATGTACATGTTTTACATAAGACAATAACATTGAACATCAACATGCTAAAATCAGTAACATTTAAAATCAAAGATAGTAATATTGAATATGATGGGAGACATAAACAGTAGGAATTTTTACACTTTGTACCCTGAAAAATTTTAAAATTCTTACATTGTACATTTAATGTATTAAAAGTGTTACAGTGTCACCCTTCTGGTAGATTCCGTTTTTTGTTTTGTCAAAAGTCAATCTATTGACACTAACAAAAAGTTAACCAAATGGTCACATTGTAATACTTTAAATACATAAAGAGTGCAATATAAAAATTTTAATCTTTAAGGATGCAAAGTAAGAACCTTAAAATTTTTCAGGATTTAAAATGTAATCTATAATATAAAATAGGACATGTTTCAATAACTTCATCCGACGGTCTCAAATAGACTCAGTCAACGGTCACTAATATCCCTCTGAAAATTATTCACATTAATTTTTTTTCGTTCTCTCACCAAATCTATCGCTACTCACTTAACGTGTTTTCAGGAACGAATTATCCCTAATTTACCCTAAACAATAACATTGAACATAATGGGGGGATAAAAACATTAAACATAATAGTAACATAAACAGCAACATGAACACAATGGTGATAAAAAAAATAACATTTAAAATAAAAAAAAACAGTAACATTGCACATAATGGGGGTCATGGTGACCTATAACAGTAACATTTACTATTAAAGATACTAACATTGAATATAATAAGGACATAAACAGTAACAATTCATATTATACATAATTACATCTAATATTTTATGGTTTAGCACTAAAACTAAAATTAGCAACGCCACGTAGTGAGAAACAAAAACAGTGAACACAACCAATTGTTACCCGACAAAGAGAAATTTTACCATTCAACTGTATTTGCATTTTTTTGATACACAATATCTATATAATAAAACACATAGCAATTTGAATTTTTATCCCCTTAAAAATATCACATCACTCATTTCTATCACATATTCCGGCGATTCCATTTATTAATGAAAATTTTCTTCTTTTTTTTTCATTAAATTCAAGAACAAGAAGTTTGAACCTCCCTCTATTTTTTATTTTTTTTTTATTTTTATTTGCATTTTGGGGACTTATATTAAATTTGAATGTATCTCACAATCGAGAAGAATTTGAGGGAAGTCATTTCTATTTTGGATTGGGACAAATAGCTTCAATAGATGAGAGAATTAAAGATACCCATTAGAAAGACTAATCCAATACATAATGATGTACCAAAAAATATAATATTTTTATTACTAGACCAACCATCAGGAGAAGCAAATACAATGGATACACTAATCAATAAGATTTGTCATTAAGTAGACGGTATCTATTTCAAGAATCGAAGTAAATCTTGTCGTAATATCATTACTAAGTATTGTTTTATATCATGATTTAAGTATAGGAAACATGAGTAATCCTATTACCTCCTTAGTCTAAAGATGAAATATGAAAGATAAATCCCAACAACTGATATTTTGTTGGTTCGTTGCTAATTCAGTGCATTTAAAGCACATTTTTTTAGGGCACAGATGAAATATCTTGAGTTGTATAATGGCAAAAAATCCTATATGTGTTTTGATTTCTACCCCTTATATGATCAGTTCTTTCTAAACATTGCAGCTTCTTAATGACTTGTTGCATACAATTTGTTACCATATATGTCCACAGGCTTAGTTTTATATAAACCTTTGAACTGATAAACCCATTCACTGCTAAATCTCAAGTAGTCTTCTAAGCCCAGAGGGTTTTTCCATTTCTCTCTTTGTGTAATTTAAAGAAAGAGAGCTACTAGTCGAATGAAAAACATGCCCACCACTCTGAACGAACAAGTAAGTGAGAGTGTGAGACACTTAAAGCAGCCAAAGAACCTGTTTTAATTTGTGGACTATGATTGAACTCATCATGTTTGTAGATTCTTATCAGGATTGAAATTACTTGGAAAACATCAGATGAAGGAGTGATTTGCTGAAAGCATGAAAAAGTTGGAAGTGTTGGGGCAGATTGGCAAAGGTCCTTTGGTTCTGCGCTACTCGTGAAGCATAGACATGAGCAGCTTGGCAAAGTCCAGTGATTATGACCTTGTTTTGCTAATTTATGTTTTTGTCTTCTTATGATGCTAAGTTGTACATATAATACAGTTTGTGAATATTAGCATCTTGATGTTACACCCATGTGAATTCATTTGAGAATTATATTTTAGTGATGACTATTACCTGTATTCTCATTTCCTTATTATAGAAATATGTGTGTATGTGTGTATGTGTGTGCGTGTGAAGAATAGGTATATGAGCAGGAGAATTTTAAAGTTTTATCAGTGATAATAAGATGCTACTAAAATTATGTTCAAGTCTTTTAGTGGTTATTTCAAATTGTGGGGAAAAAAAATACACTTTTAGTCACAATTAAATATTGCCACTAAAAAATAAACCGTTATCCTTCATTTTGGTAATTTTAGTAATAACAAAGTTGGTTTTAGTGGTAGAATTATTTTAATTAGCTGCAATAATTATTGTGGCAAAATATTTTATATTTAGTAACATTTTCTGTACTGTCGCTAAAATTTTCTCATTTAGTGGCAATTTTTAAAATTCCATGGCTAAATCATTTAGCCATAGCACATATTGTTGCTACCCAGTGGCAAAAAACAAAAATTATCACTAGAACACATTAGTGACAATTTTTTCACATTTTGTTACACTAATTTTTATGGCTAAATATCAAATTTCTTGTAGTGATCCCCCAAAAAAAATTTAAAAAAAAAACTAGAAATGAAAAGAAAAAGTAGGAAAAATAGATTTTTGCAACAAATTAAAGTTGTTTGTTATTGGA